AATATTGCTTTAAATTCTGAGTTGACTATACTCTACCATTAAATTGTATTTATGTAGAATAAGGTAAAGGTATCTGCAAGGTAATAAAAATTATCCTTTGCTGTCAGAAAGTAATACACCGTAAATAGGCTTGAACATGTTTTACATTCTGTAAATATACTGCAAAAATCAAGAGATATCAGATTACAATAAAAATTGATGTAGAGAAAATGGTATTGTCTGCAAAAAGGTATTTTTTCAAGTTTACTAACTGCATGCTTTGTAGCTTTTATGGATTTTTTTTTTTTTTTTTTTTTTTATGTAGATATGGCAAGTTTACATTTTCAAGGCCTCATATACATTTGATCCAGCTGTAAATCTATGCATTATAGATGGTGCATTTTACTCCGACTTAGTAGTTTTTAAATTACAAAAATATTAAAAACTGTTCTGTTTAGAAAGGGCATAAGCATTCAGGTACATAAATTATGGCTTAATTAAATTAATACTTATCTGCCCATATAAGATTTCATTAGAATTTATACAGTAAAGTAGGAATTTACTCCTATTCATCCAACTGACCCACTTTTCTTAACCATTGATAAGAAATTTTAGAAAGACAATATTTACTTATATGTTACTCAGATCATAGCTTTAGAATAGGGACAGCTTCTAGAGCTGGAAAGACAAATAGAAGATCAAGCTGGTCTTCAGATATTTACAGTAGATGTATTTATTAACACTAGTATCTGTAAAATATTTTCAAAGTAGGTTAGGTAGCTTTAAGAAAAAGTTATTTCTCAAGTTCTTCCTATATATAAAAATAAGAAGAAATATGCATGAATGTTTTCAAAGTAGTTTCAGTATTGTTCTGTGACAAAAGTTTATTTTTTATGTGTTATCATTATGTGATTATTCTTAGCTTTTCTTTTATGTTTTGTGTGTATTTTAATTAATTTTTTTCTCATGGCTTTATTGAAAGTATCCCCTCCCTTACATCACAATCCTTGGGGACACTCAGCTGTTACCATTTGTGTTATGGACATTTATGAAATTTTATCACTGGTTATTTCAAAAATTTCACTCATCCCCCAAGAATTTCTGGGGATAAACTGTCAAATTTCATACAAATTCATTCCAACACCAATTCAACATCAACACTACTTGGCTTCCTTATAGCCACAGACTAGGCTTCCTCATAGCATCATAATAGGCTTCCTCATAGCCTCATAGTCTTCCTCATAGCCTCATAGGCTTCCTCAGAAATAGCCTCATAGGCTTTCTGATAGCCTCATATGCTTCCTGATAGCCTCACGCATTTATTTGGAACCATAGTTCCAATTGGAATGGTGTGATGTCAAGCCAGGGGTCTTTTCTTTGCTACTTTTCAGTACGCACATAGGCTCTTTGCTTAGGCATGGAGCAAACATTTTAATTTTAGATGAGTAGATTCCCCAAGGGCCAAAATTAAGTGATAAATATAAAATTATAAAAGTTATAGTTCATTTATGATTTATGTTTCAGTCAAACCTGGATATAATTGGCACTGCTACGCAATACATGTATTAACACAGAAGTTTATTTATAAACTTATAGAGCAGGATTTTGAATTATGTTGATTATATTGTTTATATGAGTACTAAATGCTTAATTTTACATATCAAGAGTTCAAAAGGAGAGTTCTGAAGCAAATCAGGATAACTGAAATGTTCCTTAAATTAATTGTCTTAAGAACTCATTATGTGTGACTTTGAGGATTTTGTTCATTGGGTACATATTTCAGCAAGTTAGACTTACTCAGCCAGGTTTTAAATGTCAGGTCAAAAGATTTTTGCAAGGAGGTAACTGTTTTTCTGGATGTTTACTCAGACGTTATATACTTTTCATTATTACAAAAAACACATCCACTGACCAAAGGAGAAATAAGTACAGTATAAACAACAGACACTTAAATATTAAGTACAACTTTACAACAGATTATGAATGGACCTTTAGTATATCTACAATCCAGAATCAGTACTCTAGTCAAACATGGAACAAATTACAGATAAAAATAATCAGGACCATTTCTGAGGACTTTGTATAAACGTCATTATAAAAGCTATCAGTATATGGTTTTTTTCCTAATTTTGGTATTGTTTGTGCATACTGTTTCTACACTTGCCAGAAATAAAGGCAACAGTAGTGTACCGCTGTTCAAAAGTCATCAATCAATTGAGAGAAAACACATCCGAGTTACAAACTACAACCGATCGAAACACATCAACTTTAAGAGGTAAACTACGACACAACAGAAACGCTGAATTGCAACAAAAACAAACGCCAACATACATATAAACGGATTTTTTTATAACAGCTGTAATGTTCTTGAATTGGTTTATAACATTTTAAGAGAACATGGTGGTATGAACCTGGTTTTATTAAATAGTCAAACCTCCCGCTGTGGTAATGTTAAAAAATTTCACTAAAATGACAGCACTACGTGACAGGAATACATAGCATTGGGACAATTTTTATTCAGTATTCACTCATGCTATTGGGTTCAAAAGATGAAGATTAAAGACATGCAATTAATTCTGTGTGTAATTGAATAGATAAATAGGTAGCACGAGACATCTACCATTGAGATATGTTTTAGTGCTTCACTTCAGATTCGACTAAAAATTCGTTGCACACTTGTTGTCACAAGTTGAATACTAACTGCTGTCTTTTCCGAAACACCTGTAGGTTGCACTTTGTAAATACAGCTGTTTCTCAAACCACGCCTCTTTTGGGGAGATATATACTATTCGTAGATATGTTAATTTGTTAACGTACTGGTTCCCATTTATGATCTCTGTGTTTCATTTCATTGAGACATCACTTGGGAATGTAACCAGTATAGAAAAACATGGTAGCGCCTAAGTTTTAATTCTTAGGAGGTCCAAAAATGGAGGTAAGGGTAGTATAGAATTTTAGTATAAGTTTAAACTCTTAGAAGTTCAGGGCACATAAATGTTGAAAATATGCCGCACAGCCCTATATTTCGACCTTTGAATAAAATAGTAGTGCATATAAACTTTCCTTTCTAGGATATTATTTTTCACGAAACTTCATAGTAAAAGTGTCACAGTTTTAGCCGCAAAGGGAGTTCCTATGGGAAATTGCATTGTCTATATTTACTGAATTGCATCCTATATAGGGTTAAAAATTAGAACATACAGAATTTCACAAAATCTTGTTTATCTCAGAGATTTTTAAGGATTTAACTCAAATATGAAGTTTTATAAATATTTCATGAAGATTGAAAAAATCCTGGGCCTTTACTATGATGAGTCAGCATAAATTCACAGTTTACAGTATGCATTGTTTACTTAAAGCCCTGAATAAAAAATAAATTCATGATATATGCCTATTTGTAATTTAAATTGTTTAGAAGTGCTTATATTTACTCTTCGCAGTCATTGCAACTCATTGATCCTTCTTAAATATTTTTGGTGGGGTGTTTTTGTCCTGTCGATAACCCAAAAGTAAGCCGTAACACCTAAATGTGCTTTTTTGTGACTGCGGCATAAAATACAAGCTAGAATTACAAAAAGACCTCAATAAAACTTACAATAGTGTGTTCTATCCTAATATGTACCAATTATTCCCATTGCTAGAAACAGGGGAAAAAATTAGGAAATGTGAGGCCCCAGGGGCAAAAAACAGAGAAAAATGCCTCCCCCTGGGTCATAAAACAGATAAGTTAACTTCTAAATGCTATGCTTTTATTATTTTAAAGGTCTTTTGTAAGGAAAACAATTACTGTGCTAGGAAGTTATGCAAAAATCAGATGTAAGCAGTCATTTCTATCAAACTTTTAGTGAATTTATGTACCAGACTGATATCTTCATAAATACAACGTTTGCAAATATGGCTTTGTTTAAACACTTGTAGTTCATATATTAACTAACTTATGTTAGATATATGGTTAGGGATGATACTGTTGTAACATGAATTCTAAACTGACCATTTGAGGCAGAAATTGTGAACTTTCATTGACAAATAGGCATACAGTAAGATGTGGACTGGAGACACAGGCAGGATTGGATACTTTGTATAATATTGAATGTTGGAATGATTAACTACTAAACATTACATTTATAGTATTTTAAAATGCTTTGAATTTGTTATCAGAATAGTTTCAAACAGGTTTTAGACAGTTAATGTCAGAAAACATGCACATAGGGTAAACTGGCAATTATTAAAGTCTTGTTTTCAAATTCTTTAAAAAATTGAAACAGGGGTAGGGGTATAAAATGTACTGTAAAAGGAAACTTAGAGTATATGCAGTGATTTCTTTAAGGCTATAATTCTGATAAATAAGTATTGTTTTGAGAAAAAGTGTTTTTAGAGAGTTTTCTATTTGAATAAATGTTTGTATAGGTTGCACTTTGTAAATACAGCTGTTTCTCAAACCACGCCTCTTTTGGGGAGATATATAATATTCATAGATATGTTAATTTGTTAACGTACTGGTTCCCATTTATGATCTCTGTGTTTCATTTCATAGAGACATCACTTGGGAATGTAACCAGTATAGAAAAACATGGTAGCGCCTAAATTTTAATTCTTAGGAGGTCCAAAAATGGAGGTAAGGGTAGTATAGAATTTTAGTATAAGTTTAAACTCTTAGAAGTTCAGGGCATATAAATGTTGAAAATATGCCGCACAGCCCTATATTTTGACCTTTGAATAAAATAGTAGTGCATATAAACTTTCCTTTCTAGGATATTATTTTTCACGAAACTTCATAGTAAAAGTGTCACAGTTTTAACCGCAAAGGGAGTTCCTATGGGAAATTGCATTGTCTATATTTACATAATTGCAACCTGTATTTATAGCATCATACTTTGTTGGAATTTTTGTTTCAATTTTTACTTTTCTGGGTGTAGTCGTTTTTGTGTTTGCAAAGTTGGTGTCTGTCATTTCGCATCGTATGGTTTTAGTCCCACTTATGCTTTTGCTCAAGTTTGTTATATGCTTGAATGCATGTTTACCTTATATTTATCTGTATTTGTACATACAACTATAATTGGAGGGTCTAATCGGCCTTCTGTTTCTCTACTTGACCAGTAACAATGAATGACATCAATCCAGAATCTTACATACGCTATAAAAAAACAATATTCGAAGGTAAAACTAGCATCTAATAAATGCATCAAAATAGAGGCACTATTTTCCAATTAGAAGTCAAATAGTCACTTTGTTAAAAATAATGAACAAATATAAAACGAGATCAACGTGAAGCTATTTCATAAAATATGTCTGAAAGAATGTTAGATGATAAGTTGGAAAATCAAAAGCTAATTGTAATGCCCAACGTGGTATAGAAAACATTTAGATTGTCAATTTTCCTCCACAGGTCGGTTATTCTCTCAGGCTTCCACCTTCAAATAAACTTATCAGCGGGTAATATCCAATAGTGCTAAACGTGGTGTTAATCACAACTCATTCAATATAAAATGATATCAATAAAATAAAGACAAAAACATTGTTTATGTAACACAACATAATAGAAAATTACTATGATGTCATCTTACAATAAGATACATAGATTAAGGAAAAAAGAAGCAAGACAAACATGCCACACATAGTTTGAGGAAAATGGTGCTATTCCAAAACTTACAGGCTGATTCTTTGAAACCTTTCCATGTTGTTTCACCAGTGATACACTCTAAACTATCTGTTACTAGTACAAAAACTGCAACACTTGAGAGAAACACTTGATGTGTAGCATAAAACTCCTTTTGACCGGCAAAATCCAATAACCAGCAAGAGGCCAACATATCCTGCATTTTAGATTCCTTTTGGTAAATAAATGGTTGAATTATGGCAGAAGTCATTTCTTCTATGTTCTCTTCATTTGTAGAGCCATGGTCATGTTCATTTTCATTTATCTTGTGTATTTCACAGTCAATTGAATATGTATTAGGATGTTCAAATATAATGTTATCTAGTTGTATTTGATTTGCCGGATTTACTGTTGCATTTGTGGTTTCAGTTTTTGATTTCTCTTCCTAGTCAGAACTTTCGTTGTTTGTTTCCTCATAAATTGTTTCTTTAAGATCTATATCATTATTTTCATCATGACTTGGTAGACTACTCACTTCTGCTATTTGAGTTATAGAAGGAATTATTTCCTGTTGTTCACAATCTAATTCTAATTCATTTTGAGACTTTTCTGTGTAACTGCTGGAATGTTCTCCGTCAACGACATTTTCTCTAATGTGTTGTCCAGTTACGCTTTCTACTTTCCTATTCTTCCTCGCATACATTTGGCTGATTAATTTGTCAAGATCATCGTGTATCTCTGTAGACAAAACAAAACGAATCTTTTTGAGAAAATATGCGAATCATGTGTTTATAATGTTTAATGTGAGTCATTTTATTCCCTCGTTCCTTCTCTGTATTATGAGGTAATTCCAAATGTGCATGAATTGACTGTTCTTGTATAATAATATTTGAATGGTTTTGCATGGAATATTATGATTCTACGTAGAAAAATAAACACTGTAATATTTATTCAATTATTAATGTGTTTCCTGCATAAAAAATACCAGTTTATGGTGTATTATCGCTCTTATTACTTTATCAATACTGCTACAAACTCCACTATATTAATCGTTTTATCTCAAATTTGTTACAAAAATATTGGATTTTGCATATGCAATAACCGCAAATTTGTCCTGGTCATTTTCCTGTCGGGAGCAAATAACTAGTTAGTATGCCCTTTTATGACGTCATAAGCACTTAAGTGACAAACCGGTGTAATAAATTGTTAGGTATTATAATAATTAAGAATAATAAGGCACAACAGGGATTAAAACATAAAATTACAGGTAAAATCTAGATAAATGGATTTAAAAAAAAATGTTTAAGAAGTGTTTGTAAAATAAACAGTCGAGAAAAAACATGACCTTATGCAATGCAAAAATATAGGTATCGACTGTAGTATTGCAAATGTACAAATGTGTAATATTTAGTATGGTTTAAATTTACTTGTAGCAAAACCAATATTTATACCAATAAAAACAATATTCAAAGATTTAATGACAGTGTTGAATTGGTACTCTGTTATACTAAGTTAATTTAAATGATTGATTAGTTTACCCGGATCGTATCTAAATTTCTAGTCTCGATTAACAACCGCAAAATTTAGGATGTGCTTATCCGTTTGAAATAAGTTTTCTACAGGTACAGCCAAACTTAAAATCAAAATATTTGTATCTATCGAAAAAATCAGTAAAGGTTTAAGTAATTTGTGGTAACGAAATCCCTGACTTTATAATTTACTAGTAATGCATAGATTAGAAACACAAAACGTCACTACAGACACGAGCATAGCGAACAAGTTGGGATATATAAAAACTGTAAGATGGTGCCAAAGGAACATCACAGTCTAAAAGGGGAAAATTATCAAAAAGGAAAGAAAAACCATCCCTTTTGTCGTATTTTTTGTGTATACTTCCTGATGTTATACTTTAATACTGTTATATCTAGAGAATTCTTGATTATTTAACAAAAAATATCATCAACATAACGGTTAGTGTTGTTGAATTTATCAATTTTAAAAATGGACTTTGCAAACTTGAACCTCACTTAAAACTGGGGTGATCTCAGGTTCTACGGAAAGGTAAGCAGATCCTGCTCCATATCATTAATCAAATGGAATTTAGACGGTTCTTTACTGAGTTTGGTCATAAACTGTAATTCGTAACAGTATAGAAACAAGTCTGTTACTAAATGTACAATTAGTGCCCATAGGAATACCTGCATTCTGTCGATAAACTTTATTCCGAAACGTACATTAATTTTGTCAAGAAGAAAATAGTCTACCAGTATGACGCTATGTGTTTTGTTCCGGCATCAAACTTAAAAATCAGACATTTCAAACAAATTTGCACGCTTCAGAATGTAATAAAAATTGACAAAGAAAAGATTTTCAGATGAAAATTGTGAGTGTTTTGTATGTTATTGAAGAAATCCGTTGCCATAGGCAAAATTATCTTCTTCTTAACCTTTAAAATGCATAAATGACCTAAATAATAGCCAATGGAAATGTCTCCTGATGCGGAATAAACCAATCAAATTTAAATATTTTTTTCGTATCACACTCTTAGTAGTGTGATAAGAGAAATATATCTCCGTGCGAGAAATAGATAATAGGCCGCAACATAATCTTCTGTACCTTAGATAGTATTTAATGGCCAAACAAATCCTGATGGCGTCCTGAATACGTTCGAATGTTTCCATTTTGGGACCTATAATTAATTGTTTTCCAAGCAGCTTCCATGTATCATGGAAACGCAATCATTAGAATATCGTATGCATTGCGTAGTGCAAGTCGATATCAGAAATAAATGTCTGAAAAGCCTTGTCTCAGCTAAGTTCATTTTCATCTTTTTGCAGCCGTCTTGAAATTGACCGCCATTTTGAAAAAAAAAATTAAAAGTCTTATATAACGACATGACTTTCTAGAAACGTTGGATTACATTTGATTTGCTTTTAAAAGATTTTGATGTGAAACTTGAAATGATTGGAAGTCATCTTGAAAATGGCCATCATATTGGATTGTCGGAATCATAGTTTATATTGATAATCAAATATGTATCTACAATTGTGCAAAGTTTCATACTTTTATCATCAAATCCACTATAATAAATTCTAGAAATATGCACGAATCATCTGGGCTACAATTATTCGGAATGCTTGACCAAAGAACATTGAACTTACGGCATATCCAAGAATACCATGTGTACACCTACAGCATTTATAAAAGATGTGATATTAGAAAAAATACAAATCCATCATTACTAAATATGAGCTTGATATGAACAGGAGCATGGATGATGAAAATCTTCCTACGTTAAATGGACACCAAAACTTTTAAATCTTAAAATAGAACGATTTATAAGCAAATCGTCAGACTGCTTGACTAAACATCATTCTGAAGTTCTAACTACTATTCTTTTCTACAGTAAATATTGCATTTAGAAATAATTTGATTAGGTATAGTTTAAGTTAAAGATTTGACAGTGAATAGTTTTGTCCTACAAATGCGGAACATAAATTTGACGTCGATCTTTAATAGATAAAAACGTTACCACAACTTGAAAAACAACTTGAAAAACTAATATCTAAGACATATACAAACATGTATAAACTTTCCAATAAAATAAGATTTGATATTCATTCAGAGTACTATGTTTCAATGCATATGTCTTAAGATTAACATAACACTTTATAAAAGACAAAGTACAGTATGGCTTTAAAACTGATGTAAAAGACATTGTATTAATAACGTACACACATGATTTATTCCTTAAAATAATTTGAAACATATTAGATTTAAGGTTGATTTGTCACCAAATCGTACCTTTTCCTGTGGTATTCTAACATGCTTCCTGCATTATTATTTGATTTACACGGAATTTACACATAATTTTAACCAAATGTAAGCCAAGGATGTATTAATACTTGAAAAGATGAAGATCTATTTTACCAAAACGTGCGTTTTCTCGTTGGATTCGTTTTACATTTGTTTTTTTTTTGGGCCTTTCATAGCTGACTTTACGGCATTGGTTATGCTCATTGTTGAAGGCCGTAATGTGACCTATATACCACATCTTCTTATTATATATAACTATATGACTGAATAGTTTGACTTGAGAATGACGTAAGCTTAATTTTACGTTCCTGGTAAAGCAAATTATTCTTACTACAGTAAGTGAAATGAAATATTGTTCAAGATAAAATTGCAACATAATACCTTTCAACTGTTTTAACTGTAGAAAAGAGAAAGGTGGTGACACATATTTATTTTATTGATAAGCTTGATAAGTTTGAGATCAACGTTAAGTTGAATTGTGTTACTTATCATGAATGAATTTTAAAAAGAAGAACAATGTTTCTTACTTTCACATGGCCTCCACTTCCCAGTTTTAACATTGATATTACATTTCTCAATTTCAATACCATCCGTACTGTCCGGAGCAAAAGTCACTTCTTTCCTTTTCTGTCTCAGTAATCTACGCATTAAACTTGTTTTTCCAACTCCCTCCTTTCCAATAAAAGCAACTCTAGCAAAATATTTTCCACATTAATTTTTAGAGAAAAGTTCATATATATTCTTTTGTTTTTCTTCATCACTTAAAGTTGTTGTCTGTGAAAGTATCTTCGACAAAACTGAAACATAGATCCTGAATGGCTTGTATTGCAATCATAAACTAGACTTAGGTAAAAGACGTATTACAACGCCAATGGTAACATGGAAAAAACCAATACAATATGGGAATTGAGTTCATTAGTATTTCCGGATAACAACATGGAATTTCGTACTAATGCATTCTCATGTAGTCTACAATTTGTACATTTATCTCGTTGTTAATCCTTGGTTCGATTAATTTACAAAGCCCTCTTATATTAAACGTATCTCTGTTGTACACTATTATTGTGTAAACAATATCAGATGACGCTATTAGGTCGTTGTTTGACATGGCAACACATAGATAACTTAGTTTCTATGTCTACATGTACATTTGTGAGATTTAATAATCGTTTCCTATATAAAATCAGGTACATGTATGGCAATAGTTTATATCATTGTCAATGTACAAATGTATTGTTACGGTGAATGAAAACTGCAAGAAACTTTGGCAGGTGATCTATACTAAAAACGTTATAAAACTATGTGCTAAGTAGTTGAATCGTATAATTCAATACCGATTTAGACTTAATACCGGGTGTGTACTAACATGAGCAACACGACGTATGCCACATGTGGAGCAGGTTCCGGTTATATATAATTATCCTTCCGGAGCACCTGATAAAAGAGGGACGAAATATACCAGAGGGACAGTCAAACTCATAGATCGAAAACAAACTGACAACGCCATGGCCAAAAATAAAAAGACAAACAGACAAATAATAGTACAGATGACACAACATAGAAAACCAAAGACTAAGCAACACGAACCCCACCAAAAACTGGGGGTGATCTCAGGTGCTCCGGAAGGGTAAGCAGATCCTGCTCCACATGTGGCACCCGTCGTGTTGCTTATATTATTACAAACCCGGTAAATAGTCTAATTCGGTAAGTCACATTCGTGAAAAGGGAGGGCATTGTAGTTACGACATAAGGAACATATCCGATATCATCTGTGAAACGGTTATTCGTTAAATTTACGAAGGGATGACTTCAACTTCACCATTTGGAACTCTTGGTTTAATAGCTTCCTTGTGAGCAGCAATCCTCTATCAAGGAAATCATGATAGGAAACACAAGCCCGGGAATATCGTATCAAT